CCTCCCTTCCGTTCGTCGTCGTCTGCCCCCCCCCCCCCCCCCCACCCCACCACCAGCTCCCCTCCAACACCACCATCCCCACACCCATGTCAGAGCCCAGCCAGAGCGTGGCGGTGACAGTCCAGGTTTATGGCGACACGCAAGCCAACCGCGACGAGGTCGTCCAAAGCAAGACGCTCCGCCTCTCACTCTCGCTCACCGTCTCGGAAGCCATTGCCGAGATCGCCCGACAGACACGCCACTCTCCCGACGGACGTGGTCTATACCAGCCCATTGGTCCTGGTGTGGTCGTACGTAGTCATCTTTCCCGGCCCATCCGCCCCATCCCGCTCCATCCGCATGTCCATCATCCGTCCCCTTTTCTTCCCCCCCCTCCCCCCCTTCTTGTCCCCCCCCCTACACACACTCTCTACAATTTTTGTATCGCCTCACCCCCACCCCCCCTACCCCACATAGGAACCGCGATGGCTTGTGGAAGATCAAAAGCTCTTTGGACGCGTCTCGGCAGACTCGGAGCTGTACTTTAAGCTCAAGATGCGGAGAGTTAAGGTCCAGATTCTCGGCGACAAGGCGACGGTGGTGCAGATCGACGACTCGCTGGTCATCTCGCAGATCATTTTCAAGGTCTCGGAGCAGATCGGGCTCACCAATCCGGAAGAGTACGGCATGAAGCGACCCGAGGACAAGGATGACTACTCCAAATGGCTCCCACTCGACCGGACGCTCGAAAACGCGGGCATCATGCCGGGCGACGTCCTGCTGTTCATGAAGAAGCTCTTCTTCTACGACAAGTTTATCGACGAGAAGGACGAGGTCGCCCTCAACATGCTCTACTGCCAAACTCGCGACGCCATCCTCAACTGCTCACTCGAGCTGGAGTCCGAGGAGGAGGTCGCGCTCTTTGGCTCCATCATCTACCTTGACACGGTCGGCCCCTATGACGACTCCAAGGGCGAACCCAAGCTCACCGACCTTTCCCCATACGTGCCCAACATCTCCAAGTGGCACAAGTCCAAGAAGCTCGCCGCTGCCATCGTCCGCCGATACAAGGCCCTCGGCGGGCCGACACTCAAAAAGTACACCTCGGCCGCCGGCGCTCCGGACCACCAGGCGTACCAGGCTGCCTACGTCAGCTTTATGGCCCAGAACAAGTCTAAGTTTTGCCAAATCGCAAGGACCAAGCCGCTCTACGGCTACGTCTACTTTGACGCCTCGATGAAGCGCCGCCGCCGGCGCGCGCTCCGCAAATCGAACAAGTTTGAGGCCATGCCCGTCGTCCTCGCCCTCGGCCGCGACTACTTCCTTGTCCTCGACCCCAAGAAGGACCGCGAAATCGTCATTGAGCACCACTACCAGGAAGTCCTCCAGTGGCAGGGAACTGGCAACAAGCTCACCATTGACTGCGCAGAGTACGAGGACTCGCTTCTCACTTTCCTCACCTCGGACGCAGAGCCCATCGCCGAGTACCTCCGCTCCTACATCTCGCTTCACCGCCGCCGAGTCGACGACCCGCTCGCTGACCCAGCCGCCCTCACCGGCGCCGACGATGACGCCATCGCTACAGGCGACGCCGGCGGTGCCGGGCCGTCCGGCCGCTCCTTTGCCGTCCGCCCGCCCGCATCGGACGACGACGACGTCCCGCACGACATTGCCGACGTCAAAGTCCTCATCGAGGCGCTTCCGCTGGACAACAAGACCATTGTCGAGGGCCCGCCGCTCGACGCACCCACCCCCGAGCACCGGCTCGTGGTCACCACAAAGACCAAGGATGCCATCTCCAGCCAGCTCGTTGAGGCCTCCAAGGCCTCGCAGGCCCTCCTCCTCGCTGCCCTCACCCCGGGACCGGACGCCGCGGGCTTTGACGCGGCAGACCTCCTCCGCGCTGCGCGCTCGCTCGACGACGCCCTCAACTCGCTCGTTGGTCATGTCGGTACCGCCGCTGGCATCTCGGATAAGGACGGCGACGACTGCCTCGACGACATGGCCAAGCTCGCCGCAAACTCATCCGTCATGGTCAAGGCCGCCACCGTCGCTGCCCTCGGTACTGCCGCCGGCGAGGTTGACACCATCGCCCTCAGCGACCTGCTGGAGGCCTCCCGCGACGTCGGCTTTGCCCTCAAGAACCTCCTCGGCTCCACCCAGGTCATCGGCACCGTCAACGACATTCCCGAGCTTCCCGCTAACATGCTCGACCTCCTCGCCGCTGCCGATGCTGTCGCCGCCGCCCTCAAGGACATGACCGGCCTCCTCCCGCGCCTCTCGTCTACTGATCCTGATTCGCCCGAGGCCGCCGTCGCTGCGGAGCTCAGCAGCCTCTCGCTCGAAGGCGACAAGCTCCGCTCCACCCTCTCGCTCGCCGCAGTCGCCTACGCCGACGACGACCAGCTCGCAGCCATGGACTCCAAAGTCGAGGCGCTCCGTCTTCGGCTCGCAGCGCTCGACGACCTTCTCGTCACGCTTCCGCCCGGCGCCGACGACCTCCTTGCCGCCGCCGCCGCCGTCCGCGACGCCCTTGCCACCCTCATTGACGCTAAGGACTCGGTCGTTCACCCTGCAGACCGCTCTGCCGAAGTCGAGGACGCCGCAGGCCTTGTCAAGGCGGACGTTGCTGAACTCATCGCCCTCGTCTCGTCGGACAGACTCAAGAAGAAGCGTCTGCTCGTCGCCATGAAGGGCGTCGCCAACGACGCCGCCCGCCTCGGCCTCCTCGCAGACCTCGAGGCCCAGTCGGTCATTGATTCGGAGCTCCAGAAGTCGCTCCTTGCCGCCGCCAAGGACCTCTCCGAGGCCATGATGAACCTCATTTCGGCTTCCACCTCGCTCTCCAAGTCGCTTGACTCGGAGAAGAAGCGCGCAAAGACGATCACCGCCGCAGCCAACGTCGGCGACTACGCCTCCCAGTTTATGATGGTCCGCACTCGCATCGCCGCCATGAACACCCTCGTCGCCGCCTCCAAGTCCACCCTTGCCGCCGTCGAACTCACCGTCACCGAAGCCGCCCTCGAACTCAACGACATCCGAAACCAGTCGCGCAAGGCCGACCTCGACCGCGCCATGACCGCAGTCACCGCGCCAGCAGACGCACTCACCCACGCGCTCTACGTCTTCCTCGCTGCGCCAAACGACTCGGCCTACCAAGCCGAGCTCATCTCGTCCGCAGGCACCGCCATTCGCAAGTTCACCATCCTTGCTCAAGTTGGCAAGGCCGCTGCTGCCCTCTCCGACGACTCCATTTACCTCCTCTCCGCCGCACAGGCCCTCGCAGACGCCCTTGCCACCCTCAAGGCCTCGCTCAAGGATGCTTCCACCGCCTGCTGGCAGCTCGAGGTTGACGACGCCCTCGCCAACATGCGCGAGTCGATCGACGACGTCACAGGCGCCCTAGCCGATCACGCCGCAGGTACCCTTGCCCCAGAGTCCAACGCCACCCAGCAGTCCGCCCAGGACGAGCTCCTTTCCAACCTCACCTCCATGGCCGGCTTCATCGTGCTCACCTCTGCCGCCGTCCTCGACGCCCGCGCAGCGGAGCTCTCATCGTCCATCAAGGCCATGGCCGACGAGATCCAATACCTCGTCGATGCCGCAGAGGCTGTCGCCGTCAACTCGTCGTCGTCCGCAACCACGAGCGCCTGCCTAGTTGCAGGCAAGGATGCCGCAGATGCCACCCTCGCCTTTGCCCTCGTTGCAAAGGCTGGCATGCTCCACAACTCGGACCCTCAGCTCGCCCACAAGCTCGACGCCACCGCTACTGCTCTCTCCGCTACCCTTGTCGCCCTCCGCCAGGCTCTCCCGGGCATCGGCACCATCGACGTCGCCATTTCTCAGATCGAGGCCGCCGCCGCCTGCCTTGATCCGCGTGCTCTCCCGCCCGTCGATGCCGACGACGTCTTTGATGATGCCAAGGTGGAGCTCTCAGGCGCTGTCCGCGCCCTCGCTTCCGGCCTCCTGCAGCTCCACCCGGCCGCCAACGAGTCGCCGGACGCCCTCTCCCACGCTGTCTCCACTGTTCTCGACCTTGTCAAGTCTGTCCTCGCCCTCTCCATGAACTGCGCCGCCCTCACCTCGGTCTCCACCGCCCGCGCCTCCATTGTCGCCTCGGCCCGCGCTGCTGCCGAGTCGATCGTTGCCGCCCTCGCCGCCACAAAGGCCTACGCCTGTGACTTTGACTCTCCCGACACCGCCACCGCCCTCCGCGCCGCTGCAGACTCAGCGGCCTCGGCCCTCGAGGTCCTCCTTCGCGCCCTCGCCTCGGGCGAGATGGTCGAAGGCGATTCAGTCGCCGCCAACTGCGAGCTCGCCGCACAGCGCATCGAAGCTGCTGCAAAACGCCTCGTTCTCGACGAGCTGCCCGACGGCGACGAGGCTGCCTTCAAGTCGGCACAGGCTGAGCTCCTCGGTGCCGCCAAGGAGCTCTCGCAGGCCACCGACCAGCTCGCCCTCTACGCCAAGGCAGGCAAGGCCAAGAAGACAGGTGCTGCATCGGTTGAGCTCGCTGACGTAACCGTCACCGTTGTTGACGCGGTCCTCACCGCCGCCGCCTCGCTCCCGGGTACCGGGCCATCGGGCCTCTCACCAGCCGCCTTCAAGCCAGCCGTCAAGGACTGCCTCGACGCCATTCGCACCATGATCCAGGCTGACTCGGCCCACAAGCCCGACAAGGCCCTGCTCAAGACCGTCGCCGCCGTCGGCCGCGCCGTCATGGCCCTCGCCTCTGCACTCAACGACAAGGCCGAACTCGTTGACGACGACGCTGTCGTCAACGAGATGGCAGTCTACGCCACCGCCCTCCAAAAGGCCGCCCGCAAGCTCATTCTCGCTGCAGGCGCCTACGTGCCCAAGCGAGACGACTCGGACTTGCACTCCAAGTTCCTCTCGCGGGCCAAAAATGTTGCCGTCAAGTGCACAAAGCTCAACGAGTTTGCCAAGATCCGCTTTGCCTCAACTGGCCGCGCCTCGGCCGCATCCTCCTCGGCCGCTCTCGCTCTCGCGCTGCGCCAGCGCGAGATGATCGACGCCTCGGCTGCGACTGGAGACGCTGCGTTGACAAACCCGGACTCGGGCAGCCTCTCCAGTGTTGCCCTCGCCGCCTTAGGCCCGGCCGCTAGCCTCGGCCAGCTCCCGCCAGGCGTTGCTGCCCAGCTCAATCTTCTCTCGCTCGCCGCCGAGCTTGCCGACGCCCTCGGCCACCTGGTTGGCGCCGCCAAGATGTCGACGGCCGCGCCCGACGACGCCTCCTCGTCGGCCATGCTCTCATCTGCCGCCGCGCCCGTCGCTGACGCTCTTGACGCGCTCATTGATGCCACCCGCTACGCAGGTCCGGGCGAGGCCGCTTGCGAGCGCGCCATTGCCACAGGCTCGACCGTCGTCGCCAAACTCGCCGACGCCGGCCTCAACATCTCGGTCGGTGCCCTCGCGCTCGCTCCGAGCCCCGATCACGGACTGCATGTCAACGACCTTCTTGTGGCTGCTCGCGAGCTTTCAGACGCTCTCAACGCTCTTGTTCTCGCCGCAGGCACCTCGCCCAAGGCGCTCGCTACCGCCGGAGACAGCCTCGCCGGTGTCGTGGGCAAGTTTGGAGCCGCCGCACTCACCGTCGCCACCACTTCGGCCGACGTTGCGTCGGCCGCCCAGACCCTCCGCCTCGCCAAGGACGTCGTGGAGCAGGCAAACTCGGTTTGTAGCGCCGCCCGCGACGCAGGAGGCGACCCGGATGCTCGTGGCGCGCTCAAGGCCACCCAGACCGGAAACGCGCTGACCCTTGAGACGCTCCAGGCCCTTGTCGACTTTCTGGGCTCGCTCGCGGCGTCGGGCCACGACTGCGACGTTGCCATCGTCAACATCGAGAACGCGACCCGTGCCCTTGACCGCAAGCTTGCCCCGCCGGCCACCAAGGCGCACAAGGAGCTCGAGCGCGCCCTGCGCGCTGCCGCCAAGCGCCTCGTCGGCGCCATGGCCAAGATCGTCCACGCCTCCAAGGACACGCCCAGCGAGCTCGGCGCCGCCTCCAAAGACGCTGCAAAGATCTTCCCAGACCTTGTTGCCGTTGTCATCGGCGAGTCGGCGCTGGTGGCCGGCACCGACGCTGCCGCAGCCCTCGACGCCGCCATGCGCTCACTCGCCGACGCTTGCATCGGCCTCGTCGAGGCTGCCAAGGCCGTCGAACTCTCCCCAAAAGACGCTGCAGCCAAGGCTGGTGTATCGGGCGCCTCGGAAGCCGTCACTAAGGACATCACTGGCCTGCTCCTCGCCTCCAAGGCTGTCGGCGCCCTGCAAAAGGAGTCGGAGGAGGCCAAGCGCGTCATCGAGGAGGCCCTTGTCGAGCTCTCCACCTCGCTCTACCTCGCCTCGAACGAGCAGCTCTACGTCCGCGCCACCCAGTCGTACAAGTCGCACGAGAACGCCATCGACGCTCAGTGCAAGACCGTCGCCCACGCCGTGTCGGAGATGCTCAAGGCTGCCGACGGCCCGCTCGCTGCTCTCGGCACCATCGCTCTTCACTCGGCTGAGGCCGTCAAGCACCTCGTGCTCATCGTCGTCGCGGCCGCTTCGGGCCTCGACGCCGCCGCCCTCCAAATCCCACTTCTCAACGCCGCCAAGGCCCTCGCGACTGCCTTTGTCACTTTCATCGACGCCTGCCAGGCCAACGGCGAGGCCTCTGGCGGCGCCAAGAAGCACGCCAAGAAGGCTGTCAAGGCGGCCGCGAAGGCCGTGGCCATGGCCATCGCCGCCATGATCAACGCCGCAAAGGAGACCGCCGCGGACGCCATGGCTGGCACAAAGGCGCTCCTCTCAGCGGCCGCCAAGATTGCAAAGGCTCGCGACGAGCTCGCCGCCGGCGCTGCGTCACCCGCCGGCGCTCATGGCTCTGTCTCGGGTGAGGAGCTCATTCCGGCTGCCAAGGCCACAAACACCGCCGCTGCAAAGCTCTACTTTGCGTCGACAAAGGGCCAGGACGTCATTGCTGCCCGTGCAAACGATCTTGCTGCCTCTGCAGTGCCGCTCCTCGCCCTTGTCGCTGCCGCCGCCGCCGCCCCGGGTCTGCCAGACGCTGACGTCTCGGGCCTCCTCTCTGCCGCCCGCGCCCTTGCCGATGCCCTGGCTACTCTTCTCGAGCGCATGCAGGATGTGAGCGCCGAGCCGAGTGATCTCGCGCCGGCCTCGCGCGCCGTCGGTACTGCTGTCGCAGACCTTGTCGGCGTCGCCTCGTTCCTCGGTCAGGCACCCGCTGACCTCTCGGATGCGCCCGCAGACGTTGCCGAGCGCGCACTCAACTCGGCCGCCGACTCGATTGACGCCGCCGCCGCCCGCCTCCGCGAGCTCCAGGCCGAGCAGGCTGCGCTCGCCTCGGCCTCGGCCCGCTACTCGTCATCGCTCCTCGGCTCATGCCTCGGCATGGCCGACGCCACCGCAGAGCTTGTCCGTGCCGCACAGCTTGCTCAGGCTGAAATCGTGGCATCGGGCGCCACTCACGACGGGGAAGTCTTCCATGCCGACCCCAAGTGGGCTGAGGGTCTTGTCTCCGCCGCACGCGAAGTTGTCGCTGCTACCGAGCAGCTCGTCATCTACGCCGACGCCTTTGTCAAGGGTGATGGCGACGACGCCTACATCGTCGCCGCGTCGCAGGTTGTGTCCTCTGCCACAGCCCACCTCGTCATGGCCGCCCGTGCCAAGGCCGCCTCGCTCGTCTCGGAACCGCAGGTCCGTCTCGACAAGGCTGCCAAGGCTGTCAAGCGCGCCACCCGCGACCTCGTCTCCACCGTCGAGGCCTCTATCGAGGACGACGTTGCCGACAACGGCAACCGCTCGCTCTCCATCCGCGAGAAGTTTGAGCGCCAGGAAAAGGTCCGCCGCATGGAGGAGGAGCTCGCCCGCCTCCAGCAAAACCTCAACAAGGCTTTGTAGTCCTAAACCACCTCGTAACCGTTCATTCCATTCCTGCCCGCGAGACAGACATCCGACTCGGATGTCGGTACGGGTGGATGCATGTCCGGCCGGTTACGGTATGTTTGCGGCCAGCCCGCTCATCTGCGCACCGTGTTCCGAGGGATCGTTCTCGTACACGCTCTCTGCCGAAGCGTGCGTGGCGTATCCAGCATGCCCGGACCACACCCGACGCGTGTCCAAGGGCAGTACCTTGTTTGCCCCGCCATGCGTGTGCAAGCCCGGGTACTATGCGCCTCGGCTCGTACCGGATGTGGCGTGTGTGGCGTGCCCACGCGGCGGCGTGTGCGTCGGCGACTCGCTGCGGCGGCCGTCTGCAGCGGCTGGCTACTTTGATGTCTCCAACGTGACTGGCGCGGTACTGCAGCTGGAGGCGTGCCCGCGACCTAGCGCGTGCATGGCGGACTCGCAGTGCGCCGAGGGCACGAGCGGTTTTATGTGCCGGGTATGTGGCAGCGGGTACTACACCGATGCTGACGGCGATTGTGCCATGTGTCCAGGCTACGCGCGGGCGGCGTTTGCGACGTTTCTGGTGGCGCTGGCGGTGGTGCTGGTGGCCGGACTGGCAGGCGTAATCCGCTTAACGTACCGACGTGGGGAGGATATGCGGGCCCTGGCCTCGCTGCCGCACGGAGTCAAGGCTGGCGTGCTGTTTGTGCAGACGCTTGCGGTCATCGGCTCGGCGACGCTACTCAAATGGCCCAGCGCGGTCTTTGCGCTCCTCAACACCTTTTCGATTTTCAACCTCACCATCTCGCTGGTGGGTGCAGAGTGCGTGCTCGGCGGATTTGTCGAGACGTACGTGCTCTCTGTTCTGCTCCCGACGGCGCTTGTGGTACTGATTGCTTTTGCTGCCGGATGTGCGCGTTGGTTGTGTGGTATGGGCCATGTTCGGTTGGGCGCGGTTGTCCAGCGTGCACTCTGTGTCCTTGGGCCGATGATGTACATCACGGCGGCACACGGCTCGCTGCTGCTGTTTGACTGCACGCGGCTCCCGTCGGGTGAGTACGTGCTTGACGCTGACGTCGGCGAAAACTGCTACGACGCGCAGTGGTACACAATGCTCCCGTTTGGACTCTACGCAGTGGTCATGTACGTCATCGGGCTTCCAGCGTACGTGGGCATTGCGCTGTGGCGGTCGCGGCGGGTACTGCACGAACCACAGATCCAGATCAAGCTCGGCATCCTCTACCGCGCCTTCAAGCCGCAGTTCTACATGTACGAAGTGTGGCTCCTCGGCAAGCGGCTGGTACTTGTTGCGGCGTCGCTGTTCTTCTCTCGGCTCATGGTGTGGCTCATTTTCCTGCTTGTGGTACTCTTTGCCTCGTTTGCCGCCATCCAGCTCCGGCTCGCGCCGTTTCGCCTACCTGCTCACAACAGGCTCGAGCTTCAGCTCGACTCAATTGTCATTTTTCTTCTCCTCCTCGGGGCCTTTTTCTGGGCCGATGACTTTCCCAATCCTGTCTCCCACGCCCTCTTTGTGGTCATGGCCATCGCGGCCATCTGTCTCGCGCTCCTGCTCGTGCTGCGGACCACACTCCGCGAGTTCCGCGGTCGGCGCAAGCAGGCGGCAGCAGTGGGCGTGGAGATGGCCGAGGCCGGAGGCAGTGGCTCGGCGCGGAGCTTGTCGTCGGTGGTTTTGTTGTCAGAGGAACGCAGCGAGGAAGAGAGCGACTCGGCGTCGGTGCTGTCAGTGTCTGGATAAAGCAGCGGTGCCTGGTGCGGCGACGAGGACGTCCGAGTCGGCCTGGGTTGGCGGCGCGATGTCCATGGCTGACGCGTCCGCGGCGGTGCCGTCGGTGACACCGGTGTCGGTGGTGGCGGGCAGAGTGTTGGCGGGAGCGGGCGCGGATGCGAGCGGAGCGTGCTTTTTGGTCGGCGGCAGGTCAGGAACCGGCGAGCTACGCTTCCGCTTGGGTGTGGCAGGTGCAGTGGCAGGCGTCGGGTTTGGGGTTGCCGGAGTGGCGGCGGGCTTGGGAGGGGTTGTGGTCTTGGGCGGAGCGCCGGAGGTCTCGCCGACGTTGTCCGAGTCTGCAGCAAAGAGCTCGCCTTCAACGCCCGGGGCGCGCAGGACCGAGACGCCTGCAGCGTGAGCGGAGCGGTCGTCGGGGTCGGCGTCGTCGGTGAGGGCGGCGTTCCACTCGCCAGCGCGGTAGGCAGCCGGCGGAATGGTGGACATCTGGACGGCCGGGACAAAGGGAATGGTCTTGAGCTGCTGCAGAATGTCGGATTTCATCTTGTCGAGGTAGGTGCGGGTGTTGAGGTTAGCGATGCCGGCGTGGGTATCGGGAATAAGCTTGAACGATGGCCCGAACAAGTCAAAGTGTTCTGTGTAGGGGATGACGTCGTTGGTGAGCTCGACGTCGAGGACGGTGGCGGTCTCGACGGTCCAAAGGCGGGCGACGTTGGGCACGGTGTACCCGCCGCCACCGAGGACGAGCAGCGGGATGCCAAACGACTTGACAAAGGCGAGGCAGTCTGCATGCTGGCCGATGGTGAGGTTGAAGCAGCCGAGGCGGTCGCATCCCAGCGAGTCTGCACCGCACTGGAGGACGATGGCGGTGGGCTGGTATGACTCGATGATGGCGGCGATGACCGGCTTGAAGATGTAAGCATACGAACGGTCGTCGATGCCTGCGCGGAGCGGAACATTGATAGCGTGCTGCTTGCCCTCACCCTCGCCGATGTCCTCGCGGGCGCCGGTGCCCGGGAAGAACCCTTCGCCGTACATGTGGAAGGAGACGGTCATGACACGGTCGGTCTCGTAAAAGGCCTCTTCCACGCCATCGCCGTGGTGGACGTCGATGTCGATGTAGAGGACGCGCGGGTTGAACTTGAGCAGCTCCAGAATGGCGAGCACAATGTCGTTCATGTAGCAAAAGCCCGAGGCGGCCTGCTTCTTGGCGTGGTGGAGGCCGCCGGACCAGTTGATGGCCACATCACACACGCCTGCATTGAGCCTTGCGGCGCCGTCGATGGAGCCGCCCGAGGAGAGGAGCGAAAAGTCGAGGACGCCGTCAAAGACCGGCACATCGTCGTGGCCGAGGTTGTGTCTCCGCATCGACTCTTCCAGCGCTTTCTTGGCGGCAGCAAGATCTTCAGCCGACTGCTGACTCACTTGAGGAGTCAAGCATCCTTGATGGCCGTGGCCAGCCTGTCGCCCGTGCGACAGCGATGACGGGCGAGGCGAGCGTGATGTCGAGGCCATGGGCAGGCCGAGCGGAGGAAAGCAGCGAGCGAGACGGGCCGAGTACGGATCGCGGGGAGCGAGGACAAGGCCTGTAGCAGGAGGAAGGGTCCTAGGCGGCGAGCCAAGGTCGATGCCATCCAGCTCTGCCAGGAAGGAGACATACTCGGGCGTGTGGAAGAGCAGGGCCTCCTCCACCGTGGCCCTCCGCAGCGAGTAGACCTCCATTTGGCGGTCGAGGCCATAAGCCTTGACAAGGGCATGGGTCAGCGACAGCCGTGGAGGCTTCATGGGGTGACCCCGGCCATAGTAGAAGCCACCCACGGATTCCGAGTGGAAGTATGAGACCCGTAGCCCCGAGGACATGGTGTGTGTGTGGAGGGGGTGGTGGGGGTGGGGGTGGGTGTGTGGGT